ATTATCTTATTGATGTACTGACTACTTTATCATTACATACTTACCTTTTCTCTTCTTTTAGTTTAAAATTTTAATTTGCCTGATAGAACCATAGCTACTATTGCCTTTTTTTGATTACCATTTGCTTGAAATATCTTTTTTCAATTTTTTCACTCTCTGTATATGTCTCTAAAGCTATAATGAGTCTTTCAGCTTTTCACCATTATGATTTCAGCTTTGGGGTTTGTTGTATGTGGCCTTTATTGTACTGAGGTATATTCCCTCTGTACCCACTTTGTTGAGTTTTTATTATGAGTGGATGTTAATTTTGTCAAATGCTTTTCTGCATCTATTGAAATGATACAGTTTTATCTTTCCTTTTGTTAATGTGGTGTATCACATTGATTTACAGATGTTGAACCATCCATGTATATCTGGAATAAGTTCCACATGATTATGGTATGTGATCCTTTCAATGTATTGTTGGATTCAGTTTGCTAATATTCAAGATTTTTGCATGTATGTTCATCAGGAATGTTGGCCTATAGTTTTCTTTTCTTATAGTGTGCTTGCCTGGTTGGTATCAGGGTAATGCTGACCTCATAGAATGAGTTTGGAATTTTTCCTTCCTCTTCAATTTTTCTGGAATAGCTTGAGAAGGATGGGCATTGACTCTCCTTTAAATGTTTGGTAGAATTCTGTGAAGCACTGTGTGGTCCTGGTTTTTTTTTTAATTTAAAAAATACTGCTGCAATTTCATTACTAGTAATCTGTTTGAATTTTCTATTTCTTCCTGGTTCAGTCTTGGGAGATTGCATATTTCTAGGAATTTATCCATTTCTTCTAGATTGTCCAATTTGTTGGAATATTATTTTTCATAGAAATCTCTTATAAATATTTGCATTTCTGTAGTGTCAGTCTTTTTTCATTTTATTTATTAGTGTCCCCTTTTTTTCTTGATGAGTCTAGTGAAAGGTTTTTCTACTTTATCTTTTCAAAGAGCAAGCTCTTAGTTTCATTGATTCTTTCTATTATTTTTTTAGTCTATTTCATTTATTTCTGTTTCAATATTTATTATTTCCTTCCTTCTGTTAACTGGCCTTGTTTGTTCTTTTTCTAGTTCCTTTTGGTGTAGGGTTAGATTGAGATTTTTCTTGTTTCTTGAAGTAGGTCTGTATTATAAACTTCCCTTATAGAACTGCTTTTGCTGCATCCCATTTACAAGTTACCTATTTTTAATATTGTGTACCCATAACAAATTGATGTAGTTAAGGCTATTTTAATATGCTTATTTTTTAACTTTTAACCTAGAGTACTAAGTGAACTATAACAGTAGAGAATCTGACTTTGACAATGTTTACTATTACTATTCATTTTTACACCCANTCCTCTGGGCCTCATGAATCTGGATATCCATGTTTTTCCCATTTTGGAAGTTTCATTATTACCTTAAATATGCTTTCTGCTCTTGTCCTTTTCCCTGTCTGGGATTTCTGTAATGGGGATAGTTTGTTCTGATGGTGCCTCCATAAGTTCTGTAAGATGTCCTCACTTTTTCACTCTTTGCCTTTTTTGTTCCTCTGACTGGTAATTTCAAATGACCTTTCTTTTGTTAGGTCAAATCTTCTGTTGAAGCTGTCCTTTGAATTCCTGTTTTGTCATTGTATTCTTCAGCTCTAGGATGTGTTTTTTTTTTTATGTTTTGCAGTTTTTTATTGAACTTGTTTTTGCTCATGCGTTATTTTTCTAATTTTGTTTAGGAAGTTGTCTTTCTGAGTGTTCTTATAGTGCACTAAACTTCACTAAAAGGATTATTCTGAATTGTCAGAACAGTCCACAGATCTCCATTTTGTTATGAATAGTTATTAGATCTTTATTAGCTTCCCTTGATGGTGTCATGTTTACCAGATTTTTCATGACCCTTGAGTTGATATCTGTGCATTTAACTGGTCTCCTCTTCTGGACTTTACAAGTTTGCTTCCACAGGCAGTCCTTTGCCAGTCAGCTCAGCTCAGGGTTTTGGACAGGGCACAGCTGGTGGCATTCCTGGGCAGGTGGGGCTGTCTACTCTACTGGGGTCTCTTTTTTGGATGAGGCTGCTGCCTGAGCACTGAGGAGAGGGGGATGCTGGCAGCTGGGAACAGCTGGGTAGGACTGGTAGCTTGGTTTGCTGCCCAAGCACTGCTATAGGATGTGCTCTACAGGTATCTGGATTCTCTAATCAGGCTTTCTAGTTGGGTACTCAACAGTACATGGGGCTAGGAATTAGCTTCCTTTCCCAAGGTGGGCACTGATCTTTGTTTGGGGACCCAAATCAGGTAGAACTGTGGACAAAGAACCCTGGACAGATGGTGTTACTAAGTAAATTGGCTTAACTCTTCAGACAGGCAGACCTGCTGGCTGGGCTTTCTGCACAAATGCCATTGTAAAGAGCTGTAGGATGGGCTATGGGCTTCTTGGTTGAATGTGGCGGGAGGCTGTATTCAGCAATAGATGGGATGATTAATTAGCTTCCCCATCCAAGCACAGTGGCTGAACTGGCTCCAAGGCTGGCGGGTGCTGTTGTTTGGGTCCTGAATGAGGCAAACTGCTCACCGACTCCCAGTAGTCTTGGTTCTGGCCACCGTCTTGGTTCTGCAGTGGATGCAGCACTGGTTCTCTCTCTACTTTGATACAGCTTTGAGGAGGGCCTCAGGCTACCAAGACCTGAGTGGTGCTTGCTGTAACCCCTGTGCCCCTTTTTGATCACAATTTGATGTCCTGTGGTCAAGCTTCACAGATTCTTCCTGAAACTCCTATAATTTGAGAAATGAGTGGGCCTCCTGGGAAGCAACCCATAATGGTGGGTGAGCTCAGTGTTAACCCTGGGCTCTCTTTTTTCCCACTGGAGAAACTGTAGGTTCCTGGGAGCCCCTTGTTGCAGTGCTGTGCTAGCCGGGTGAGGAGGATGCCTTCAGTGTGTGGACACTCCTCTTACCCTTCTAATGCCGTCCTTCTTGGTCTCTGTGCTCCAAGTGGGTGCTGCAGTCGCACCTCTGTGTCCGGGATTTTCACAGGTGTGTCTTCTCCATGCTAGTTGGTCTTCTTGTGAGGGAGACTGAAGTCAGGAATGATCTGTGAGGACATCTTGATGACATCCTAATTTAGCGTTTTACCATGTTGTATATGAAACACATCTATCACCTTCTCTATAAATGTCCTACAAGGATGTCCTACAAGTCCTACTACATTTTTGCTTAGGCAAATAAAAGCCAATTTTGTAGACCATATTGAAATTATATATTTAAGATAAACATGTATTTGTTAAAAAATCCTGTATATATTTTAGAATTGTACTGTGTACTATATAACTTATTTGTGTACATATTAGTTGTATTTATAACAAGACTATAACAATTATTGGTGATAAAGCTATAATAAAGTATGTGCTTATAACAAGTAACAAAGATAATGTTAAACAAATTTATCAACTTATAACCATTTTCTAGAACAGGAATTACAAAGTCCTATACACACACAGGTGTGTCTGTTGAAATGGTGATGCACTATGATGCCTCAGTTCTGCTAAGGCTGATGTTTTCTTGGTATTCCATGTTTTTAAGAGAAGTCCACAAATAAAAGTCCAAGAGTAAGAATGTGAAATCAGTTACAATAATTTCTTTGTTCTCCATTTTATATTTCAAAGTTCCTATAATGATGAAAAGCTACAATCTTGATATGATTTAATAGAACTAGGGTTTCTCTGTGGACCTCAGGTCAACCATAAAGCTTTGCATGTATATATTTTTTATTTTCAAAGATTATATAAATTTATACTGTTACAGATGGAACCTTTTTGTGTGCCCCCACTCCCATTCATATATTGAAGCTGCAACCCACAGTGTGGCCACATTTAGAGTAAGGAACTAATTAAAGTTAACTGAAGCAATAAGGCTGGGGTCCTGATCAGACTGCAGTAGTGTCCTTGTAAGAAAATGCATCAGAGAACTCTTTCTTTATTCCCCTCCCCCAGCCTGCAGTTCACACACATAGGCAGGGTACCTGCAAATCAAAGAAGAGAGTTCTCACCAGAAACTGAATCAGCTGTAACCTTGATCTAGGACTTATAGCCTCAGAACTGTGAGAAACGTTATTTCTATTGTTTAAGCCACCCAGTTTATGATACTTTGTTGTGGCAGCCCAAGCAGATTAATACACTGTTTATGTGAAGCTAATAATAACACCAAGGCTGGCACCTAAAAATAAATCATGCCCTTAGTTCTCCTATTTTTAATTTTTATTAATTATACCAATCAATAATTAACAAAGAACATGATAAAAGTTGCTTCTCTATTTTTCCAGATAAAAGGCATACCAATATTTAGGTATTTGAGATTTAAAGTCTTATTTTGTCTCAAAAGTTATACATTTTTTTTTTATAAACTCAACACCCAATGAAAACAATAAGAAGTTTTGCTAGGGATGACAATACTATAGCAAGCTAGAGATACTTAAAAGTGGTGAATTTTATAATGTATAAATGTGATTTACTACTTTACCTGTTGAAATTCCTGCTCTCTTTGTTCATGTCTTATTTCCATCTGTTTAATTTTCTTTTCTAAGCCCATGAAATGTTTCATCTCTGGTGTATGGTTTTCTTTGGCTTCTTTCAATTCTTTTAAGAGTTTTGCTATCTAAAATTGAGGTAAGAAGTAAATGAAAAACTATGATAAGGAAGTAATTTTTTAATAGGTAGTCTTAAGGGGTAAAAATGTGCATCACCTCTTCTCAGTATAAACTTCTCTAGATAAGAGGTTTATTGTTACAAAGGTATCTTGAGTAGTTAGAAATAATTAATAGCTTTCATTCCATACATCAAGGAAGTAAAGGTTCATCCTAGCCCTGAAATGACCTCATATTCCAAAAGTTTCCAGATGACAGGACTGCCTTCTCCCTCCCATATATACCAGGCTGGTTATGGCACTCAAAACGAAGTTGGGCATTTTCTTTGGTGTATTCAGCTTTGCCATAAAGTGTTTAATAGGCGATTACTTTTGGGATTAAATAACACATTGAAAGCACCCAACACACAGAAAGAATTCAAAAACTATGGATCCATCTTTACTCTACTCCCTATAATTCTATTTGCAATTCTCTTCTAGATCTTATTGCTATAATTTATAATAATTCACTCTACAAATAAATGTATGTGTATAAAGTAGATAATGAAGTACTGAACTCTTTCTGTGCTGGCTGCTGTTTAGGTCGTGAGGATGCAGAGACTAAAGACACAGTCCCTGTCCTCATGGAGGGTTGGTCTAGTGCAGTACCTCCTTTTTCATATCATGGCTCACAGAGAAAATGGTAATATTTTGGGGGCACCAGGAGTAAAATGGAGAAGATGTGAGGAATCTCTAAATTGGGTTTAGTGAAACAATTAATTGCATTTTCTTTATGCTATAATTATGATAATTTGGTAATTGTTAACATCAAAAGGCAAAGTAAAAAACAAGCAAATGAAAATGGTTAAAATGAACAAATTCAATGCTTTACCTAATAGCAATAATAGTAAAAAGTAAAACAAAAAAACCCCACATACTTCTCCTAAGTAAGTTAAAAAAATGTGAAAATACAAGCAAGTTAAATCAGAGTTAAGTCTAAATACTTTAAATGTGGAACATCCTCCTGATGGCATTGCCAGTGAAAAAAGAAACATGCATATGTTAATTGGGATGGTTTGCAGAAGGGCCAGGGAGAGGCCTTACAGAACATGCTGTGGTGATGGGTGCCGGGTGTAAAAATCTTATATGCTAAAACAATGATTATTAAAAATTGTAACAAACCAAAACAAAAGGATTATTGTACTAAGGAAGTTGTCAGAAGCATTGTCATACACATACCAGTCAAATATCAACTTTTCTGTCAACTTTAAAAAGATTAAAAAATGATTCTGAGTTT